CTCTGCCAGTTTCCACCATTTGATGATCTGGCCATAATAATGTAATATTACTAATGAGATAACGCAGTGAAAAGGAAGCATTATACTGATTCAGCTGGGGCGGCGATTAGATTGGAGTACTGCTGAGCACATATTGTCTAATATTCACCTAATGGTTGATATCTATTTCATGGGACCCAATTTTTAAATCTCTACTAAGCAGAATTAATGAAGTTAGCTTTTCAGTGTAGTAGGGGGATTTTTTATTTTTTATTTTTTTTTAAACTCCAAATCTTTACCAAAACACATGGTCTTCTGTTAGAATAAGATTAACACACAAAAGCAAGTTTTGCCCATTTGTCTGCTTAGGATCTGGCACCAAGGCTATGGGTTTTATTAGTGTGATTGGAATTGAAAAGGTAATTTTATGAATGCTCTTCGAAAAATCCCAAAATGTCTTTCTAGCAAATTTTTTTTGTGTGTGTGTTTGTGAACAGCCATTTTCAGGGTGTGATTCAGTATAAAATGCATCTGGTTTACATTGTGAAGAAAACATATGCAATGTTTCCTGACTGGTCTGTAAAATAACACATACCTTTCATTCCATTTCTAAATGCAAATAAGCTCTCTCACTCAGTGTAAATTGAGATTGCTTTGAAGAAAATGTTATTAGGAATAAAATGTGTATGAAAACAGAATAACAAGTTTCACTTCCGAATGTGCAAAGATTCATAATATATTGGTCTAACTGTATTATGTCCATATTTTTCTCCTGTTCAATAGAGAAGATTAACTAAAGTGGTGCTTTTTCTCAGGTAACTTCTCACAGCACTGTGATATCAAGTGCAGATAGTATTATTGTCTCTTCTTTGGTATGATTTTATATCATTTTTAATCTTTTCCATTTCTACATTCAAATTAAAAAAGTCATAAAGTAAATTATTAATTAAAGTCATTTTTTTTTCTTGCTCAGTTCACTTCTAATTTAACATCAGTCAAAAAGATGATTTAATTTTCTTGCTTTTATCTTTTAGTACATGCTAATACTGAAGCCAGTGCTTTTATTTTAAGATCTAATGTCTTAACATGACTACAATATATGCACAGTGCTATGCATAAGCACTTAAGCAAATTGCTGCCAGCAGGAGCACACATAATGTCCAGGCTTGCGTGTGGGGTGCTGGATAAAAGTCTTAGGAATACCATCTGTGATTGCTTAGATGTATCTTATTTTCAGAATTTGTTCCATAAGTCTTTTCCTGAAGTTATAGTAAAACATGAAGTGTTGAGTCTCTGTGTTTACTGGATGCCACTGCTCTGTGATGTTTTATTTATTTATTTATTTATTTTATTCTTTTTTCTCCCTTTTTTAAATTGAGCAGCAAAAAAACAATTCATAAAATTAAACCTTTGAAAATAATATGAATTTTCAGATCTCTTTTCCTCAGAGTTGGAAATGACACTATCTCCTGGCCAAGTATCCTTTGTGTTGCTGAAAAAACATTTCACAACTTGATCAGTTTTGCTTGAAATTATTTTTTTTCATTTTTGTAACTAATTTCAAAATTAAAGAGGTGTATTTTTTTGACTACAACTTTGTCTTTTTAATATTAGAGATTTACTTTATATTCACTACTTTCAGAAGAGCATACATGGCTGGATGAGCATCTGGCAGTATAGTCAGTTTAGGTGTGGCATGCAGTCTATCAGCTGAAGTTCACCCATACTTCCCCTTACTCTGTGGAGAAATAAACTGGACTATGCTTCTCCTTTCTCAGCTAAATTCATGTTTCTAATTCTGCCTTGCTCAGCTCACATGCAGGGAGAACAGCCACTCATTCACATTTTGTACTGCTTTACTTTCATGTAACAAAGAGAACTTTTTTGTTCTTTATCCTTGATAGTTATTTCTACATATAGCATGTTTCCACATAGTTGCACTAATAATAATGAAGCTTGGATGGACATATGGATGAAATCAGAGTGGAACAGGCAAGAAAACTCAACTGAATGCTTTATTGGCCCTTGACACTCATTTTTACTTCATCTGCATACAGTGTGCTTATGCATATGACTGAAATTTCACCTTCTACTGGCTGCTTTGAACATAGTTGTCTGGTTGCTGGACTTTAATCTGTCAGAAGTTTTCAGATGCATTTTTCCTGGGTCTCAGAAAAAGTTAGTAAAACATAAATTGGTTATCTACACAATCAAAGAACAGAAATGTATGAAGGTATTTGTAGTATAAATACTACCTGTTAACATGTTCTATCTTGATAAAAAGAGGATGATTTTATTTTCTTGCACCCTAGGTAGTAAAATGGTAACTACAAAAGAGTCTTCACACTTCCTAATACTTCACAACAATTGCATATAACAACTGATGCGATAGCATATCAAACCAAGATGGTGTGATCCCCCATCCCTTGGTTTGATATACTTTCAGCTTCTTTAAAGGCTCTTGAGATCAGGACCCCTACAGAGTCTTTGAAGTTTGTGTTTTTCTTTCACTAGAAAGTGAAGCCTTGGCTTTTAATGGCAGCTCAGCAAATATCTCATCAATATTTAAAGTGTCAAGTGTACTTCTGTTAAAGGTACCAATCACAGATCAAAGATACTAGCACTGAGGTGCAGCATTTCCTTCAAAGGTCTTTGCAGTTTAGCTTTTCCTTTTGTTGGAAAAGAACTTCTCCTTTTAACATTCATTGCTTGCATGAGTCTTAAACACGTTGTTTGACAACAGTAGGGAATTAAATGTTTTGTTACCAAAGCCAGAGAGGATGATGCAGTAGTTTTTGAAGAGTCCATCATGGTTGTTTAAGAAAGGAGAATGCTTGGAAATGCCTTTTGCACACTCTTTCCACCTTTCCTGAGTTGACCAAAATCTATTGCAGTTAAAGGTAGCAATGCCATACTTTTCAATGTGGTCAGGACGAATCCAAGATGAATGAAAGTTTAGTGACATGAACAAATAAACTGTGAATGGTTCTGTTGGGGACTTTTCTCTTTCAGTGAGGAGTTAGGATGTTTCTTCTCCAATTTTTATATCCCCTACTTCCTTCCTTCCGCTCATTATTTAAGGCTTATGACTATGGCTGTGAAATCTAATCCCTTTATTACTCTTCCAGCTCTTACTGTGTTTTTATTTTTTAACATCTGTTAAAACAATTACAACAGTAATTACAGTAACAAGGATTCTGAATATTTTGTACTTGTGGTTTATCTATTCCAAGGTGTCAGAGTTTCACTTCAGTCATGACTGACACCTTGGAATAGATAAACCACAAGTACAAAATATTCAGAATCCTTGTTACTGTAATGATGTCATGATGAATGACTGAAGTGATGGAGAAAACTTGATTAAAGTTGATCATTTTTAGAAAAAAAAGAGGGAAGTTTAAATTAGGAATGCTTCATAATTATGTGAAGGAAAACAAACAAACAACAAAAAACAGCAACTAGAAGGTTAGAATGAAGAAGCTTATCAGATGACTCTTGTAAAACATACAATATTTTGATTCCATCAGTTGGTACCTCTTCAGAATGCCCTGGGAATAACAGCAAGGTCTACAATGTATGTCACTAGAGTCTTTTTACTCTGAAGGCTGAATTTCACTGAATTATGCTTGTCTCCCTGTAAAACAAGCAAAAATTTGCTTTCCTCCACCAATTTGTAAACTTCCCAGCTCAGTGCCTCAGAATACAAGTAAACATACAGTGGGATAGATGTCAATTTATACTTTTCAAAGTTGGTTGCAGAGCAGAGTCTAATGCTGATATTGTGTAGTGGAAGCTTAATACAGTGGAAAAGGTCACTCTACTGTCCTACCATGCGAAAGGCTCTTTGTTCATCACTGTTCAAATGTGACGCGTATTGCATTTCAGATTTTTTACATTTGGATATTTGTTTTCTATTCATGTGGATTACAGATCGCAAGAGGTATTACCAGGTGACCAATTGGCTTCAAAAAAATCTGTGAGCATTAAGGTAGTAATGTGTTTTTAAATTCTTGTTCTTCTTGCAAATGAGGCCTGGATCTGCAACAATCCTTATTCACATCTGTGTTTCTGCTATACTGTTGTGACTTGTATCAGTTTGTGTTCTGGGTGACTGAATATAAACTATCAACTCTTGTTTGTCTTTACAGACATTTTTCCCAGGACCCCTGTCTCAATGAGGAACAAGTAGAGATGGCAAGATTTTGCTCTTGCTTGGCAGTACCAGACAAAATATTGCAACCATTTGAATATAAACTTTGAGACTGATAGTGGCTAACATTTAGTTCTTCTGCCCCTTTCCCTTGTGCCGCAGTTGTTCACTGGCTATTTTAAATCAACATGGCAAGGCTGTAAATAAAACTGGCAGTGGAAATGCTAGCCCAGTGCTGTTAGCAGCACACCATTTATATCCTATCAAAACCATTGAATTGGCTGTATGCCCAGGAATAGTAAGGAGTATTCCTGCTCATGGCTTCTCCTTGCAATTGGAGGAAGATTATATGTAAACTGACAGCCCAGTGTAAAAGTTCCCTAATTTCATTTTCATTTAGGCTCTACTTCTAAAAGCAAAGTGCCCAGCTGTGATCTGACTACTTCTAGCCATGGAAAATCCAACATCAGTGGTGGAAGGTTGCTATCCCATATTTATTTATTTTTTACCTGGTAGTTGAAATCTGCACTTTATTTTGAATTATTTGTCTTTCCTCAGCTTCCAGCTTTGGAACGCATTATACCTCTGTCTGCTAGACAGAAATAGGCAAAGATATCTTATAATTACTTGTTCATAGATTTGTTGCTTGGTAGGAACACAGATACAATGAAGACTCTCCATCTACAGTTGTGTTTTGAGATCTATCAATTAATAAATCTTGAACCTTCCATTAAACTCTTCTGACAAACAAGCAGCTCTACCATTACCTGTAACTATGATTGAGGTCATATCCAGTCATCCATTTAGGTCATGCTGCTGAATTTTTAAAGATATATAAAAACTAATACTGTATTCATATTTTTTTTCCTAGGTAGTTCCCTGAGTTTCATGAGCCATCAACAACAGAAGAAGCTTTTCTCTGTTTCTTAGATTTGAGTTTTCTACCTGTGCTGTTCTGGGGGGGGGGGTTAGAGGGGGGAAGATGGAAGAAAAAAAAAAAGAAAAAAAAAAAGTATTAGCATGGTAACTACTTCGTATTATTTCCTTAAATAACTTCTATATCGTAGTGTATTTTCTTGATGGTATCAACTTATATTGGAATTCTCCCAAATTCAGAGTGGAACTAGGGGGCCTTTTTGTGTTGCCTGGATTTTAATGACCATCCTACTATATTAATCTATTACTGTACTAATACTACTGTTGGAATGCATTTTGTTGCTAATGTACTTTGAAAAATCCTTATTGTCCTTAATTGTGCTGGCCATTGATTTCTCACTGATGTTAGCCTCAAGCATTCTAGCAGTCTCCTGGCTCCTAATTTATATTAATTGCTATCAGTGTTCCCTTTTTTTGGTTTCATTATTTATTTTTATACTTGCCTTTACTTCTCCTGTAGGTCTCTTTCCTCTAAGGATGGTTAATTTTTCCTTGATTGTGGATTTTGTGGCATTTCTTTACAATATTCTTAACTCTTAGCAGTTATCATAGATCTTGTTTCATAGATTTGAAGGTAGTTTCAATTGCATTATGTTACACTGTATTTTGAATTTCAGCCTCAAGATAATTTTAACTTAGAGCATTCAACTCTTGGTCAATATTAAAGTATGTATTGTTCTATAAGAAAGAAAAAAAAATAGAATCAGTCAGTATATTGTTTCCATAAAGGTCTATAGATGTGTTCAGTATTTTAAAAAGACTGAAGTTTAAATTGGACATAGATGAATAGTTGTCTTCAGAAAAACATTATTCTTGTCACCTTTTTTACTCAAATATTTAAATGATTCTGTCAGGAAAACACTGAACCAAATTTACATTTTAAGCCCTCTTGAGAGAAGCAAGCTTAAATCCTTTGAATAATCCAGCTGTCACAAAGAGAGACTAACATATTTAGGAAAGGTCAAACAATGGTGTCTAAATATGCAAGATATTTTCTTACTTGAAACATGAAATTTGGAGATAATCTTTATTTTCTTCTCCTCTTCCAAAAACGTAGTCCAGTGGACTTTTTTTTCTGAAACAGTAGAAGCAGGGTTCTCACTCCCTGGCAAGGTACCTCAGACCCTTGAGACTTGAGAGCTATCTCTTAACTCTGATGGATAGTTGGATAAATCCAGCAGTGCCACACACTTTACAGCTGTGCAGCTCCAGTACATGGCACTACAATAAAAGATAATACAAGATAAGAAAAAAGATCATGAAATTCACTGTAAGCAGCATAACTGTATTGCAGCCTTGAGGAGACACCTGTGTATGTCTCAGGGATATATGAATTCATGCTGAGCTCTGTGGTAACTGCAGCTAAACTAGTTTTGATGAGTGTGTAATTAACAAAAACAAGTAATTTTGTATTGCTACTCAACTGCAGTAAAAGCAACACATGCTACGAACTGGTGCAAATGCACTCAAGTTTTTAATCTTTTAGCTATAAAAATTGACATATTCTAGTCAGTGACTATGGTGGAAGCAGAGTGAGCATTTGCTTGTCTTTGAACTTCTGAGTGATCTTTCTGTGGTCAAAGATGCTACATAAAGCACATTTATCATAACTGAACAAACATTAAATGCATCACTTAGTATAAAGTAGCATCTGTATGTACGGCTTTCAGAAAAAGGATAGTTTTTAATCAAGAGCCAGTAATAATTCTGCCAGAAGCACTTTACATGTACTTATATACTTTTCTTAGTATTAAAGGTGAACTTGACTAAAGCTAACTTCTACCCTAGGAAGCTTGCAGAAGACAATGACAAAAACAGGTCTGGATTCAGCTTTTTCTCACAGTAACTGTGTCACCAGCACTGAATAAGCATGAATAAGCAATTGGATAAGCATGCAATTTTTAGATAATCTAATACAGGATCAGATTAGATGTAAGCATGAATGGGTCTATGACTCCTTTGCTGCGTCTCTGTCAAATTGATTGCCACTGTTAGGTTATTGAAAAAGAGTTGAGGATCTAGAATGGAAATTTTAATGTAAAGGACAAATGTTGCGAGCGGAAAACTCTCAAAAAAAAAAAAAAAGTCAAATTTCAATATAACGTGGCTGATTCATAGGGCCCAAGAGCATGCCCATATCACCCTTGGCAATGTAAAAATCTCAAGTAATTTTTAAAGTGAGATAAGCAAGGAATGACATTCTTATACTGGGGCAGTATTTTAGACAAGGTGTTGAAATGACAAGCAACATGCAATAAAAACCCTGATTAATGTGCGCAGACTATTTCATTTCCTTTAGACCTTTCTTATTTTTGTGTATTAAAAATTTCTGAATATAATTAATTTTTATTTTAAAAACATTTATTTCTAAACATGATGTATTCTGAATTGAAAAGTAAACCAAATTTTCATTCTGAAAATGTCGGAATAGGACAGCCTATCTGAAACATGTTTAAAGTAACAAACTTCTTAAAGCTAACTGTATATGCTTTTGGTTTTGACTTACTGATATTCTTTGACGTAGAAAAAAACAACCCTCGCATTTCATTGGAAAGTTCCTAGCCAACTCTCAGTTGTAAATGTTGTTGAATAACAGAGTTCTGTATTACCAAATGCTTATTTGCCAGCAATTTATTCACCAAAATCAATTTCCTGTATACCATTTTTATGCATTTACCTTATAGGGCTTTTATAGGGTAAGTCAGGAAATGCTACTGTAGTACTTTGAGATGTTTTTTTCTGAGTAATAAAGTGTTAGCTTCTGGTTCCTTTTGTTCTTCTCCCTGCCTATCAAATATACATAAGCAGAACATTTTGTTAACACCAAGGTCACTGGCTACTTTAGCTAATAAGAGGACAAAATAGAACTATCGAGAAATCTTTGCACTGATGGCTTCTTAGTACTTATTAGTCTGTAGAAACATATCTTTTTCTCAGAAGATCGAAAAACTGTTTCTGCATCTACCACTGTGCTTCAATATTTAATAAAAAAGAATTTTTGTTCACAATGAAGTGCTACAGATTTCTTTAATTAACAGAAAGTAAAGAACATTCAAATTGGAGAACTGTTATTAAAGGAGATGCATTTGAGCGAGGGAAGTCTTTTCCTCTCCTTGAAAGCTATTCATTATTTTATTTCTATGTTATTTTTATACTGGAGTAAAGTTGCATTACCTTAATAACCAATAACTCAGCAGGACGTCCAAATAGGTAGAGATCACCTGAAGTTGAACTCCAGCTGAAGTAGTAGAAGACCACTGAATGCCTGTGGACTGTAATTAGAATACCATAAAACTGGAAGGTAAATGGTGGTAGAACATATTAGCAGTAAAATGCTAGCTTGCAAGTTGGAAGTCTGAATTCTTTCATTTCTATGGGAGTGTTACTCATTCAGGAGCAAATGAAATGTTATGCTAAAGAATAAATTTGCATTTAGAATCCCTAAAGCTTAAGGAGTGGTGAAGGTTAGTATGATGATGGAAAAACAAGTGCATACAAATCTGCAGAGCTTTTGATACCTTTCTTTCCTGCTCCTGTCCCATCTTTTTTTTTGGTGTTTGTTTCCATTCATTTTTTCCCTAGTCTGCCTTTAGAGAAAAACATTACAGAATTTATACACAAGAAACTAATATTAAAAATCTTTCATGCAAAGAAACACTGCATCTGTTCTTACATTGTTTCTATTCATGGCTGGCTAGTTTTACATTTTCTGATCAGTGACTGGCACTGCGACCAGTAAACCAGTTACTTCTAAGATCAGCAGTGGACTGTCTGGAGGTCCTGCATTATTGATTTTCTGCTTGTACATTCTAGTTGCTCTGTCAATCAGTGGGCTGAAATGCAAGATGACAGTCAATAAGCAAAAGGACTGAGCTCCCACAGATAGAACAAAATAGTTCAGAAGCTTCAGATGCACGCAGAAAACACCAAAATCCTTAGGAAGAAGCAAATCTGATAACCATTCTAAAAGAACAACACAAAGTATGTTCTTCTTAACGCATCTTTTGTTAACATTCATTGAGTCTGTTGGCTACAAAACCAGTGTGAAAATCTGGCAAGTCCTAAACGGAAAGCATATGGAATTGAGTAAAAAAAATCAAAAAGTATTTAGAAAAAAATTATCCTGTCAGGCGACATTGTTAAAAACAGGTTCTGTACAAGGCAGTTATGTGGCTGATTTTTTCCCTAGCATCTTCCTTTACCACTTGCATTTGTTCAAGTGAATCATTACCCAGGTTAGGCTACTGCAAGGAATTTCTTCTGTTGTATCATCTCCTTCCACAAGTAACAAGATATGCTAGTAAGGATACCTGCTTTCTATAGATTGCATTAATACAGAACAAAATTAATTCCTAGTATTACAAAATGAAAAAAAAGTGACCGTTATTTAAAAAGTTACTGAAATCTTGTGATCTAAAATTGAATCTCTCATTACATCGACAGCAATTGAACTATGAGATTATCTGTTCGTCTTGCTCCACAGCACAATTTAGTACCCAAGTTTATTTTAAACAAGCCAAACTGCATACCAGAAGCAGTCTATCTGTGACAGCACTGAGTTTAGCATAGTCTAATCAATTTTTCTAAGAAATGGAATACATTAGCCTGTATGGAACTTACACTGTCATGTTTAGACTACTTTTGATGCCCAAGCTAATTCCCACAGATATCTGATAGCAGGTCAGGTGTCCTTCTATTACACTGAAGTGTATTGTGCATGTAGCCCTGTTGGTTAATCTCACTCCTGCAGGGTTAGAATATAGATGAGGATTACTCACAGAAAATTGAGATGAAATAGTAGTAATGTTAAGAGTTCGGTAGCTTCTACTCTTTTCTCTGAGTCAGTAACTAATACTGTGCTTGGTTAAAAGATGTTTGCAGAGGGTATGGAGTTCCCCTTTGATATTTGCTAATGAGAATACCCACTTGATGTGCTTAGGGGCATTCTTCAACAAACTCCCAATTCATTTAAAAAAATTTGTGAAAAACAGCAGGGAATCTTTGCTAGGCGAGACTTGAGCTGACTAGGCGAGAGGAGCTGCCCTAAGGATAGAAATGACAGTTGCTATCACATAACTTCATGACCATTAGTAATGTTTATACTTTGCATGATAAATGCAGGGGCAATCAAATAACTTTCTTTAGAATATAGGCTGTTCACTCCAGCAACTAAAAGAATTTCCCCCAGTATAAACACTGCCTCTTTGGGATCTCTTTATCCTTTCATGCAGTTCCCTTTTTCTCAGAGTAGTGTGGGTCTTGGATATACTGGATAATGGAAGAATTCAGAGAGTACCAGTGCTGGAAAATAGATCCTGAGAAGCTTTGTATGAACCAAGTTTCCTTCTGGCATGCCTGTCACTGATTTGGCCTGATATCCAGAGAGCCATTCAGAAACTTCTTCAGAGAGGTTTATTAACCGGACCTCAGCCAAACCGGAGCTAAATTAGTGCATTTGGGCTTGTAAAAAAATACACCAGAGTTCTGAACAGCTCTACTTCTGTCAAAATGGGTTGGGGCTATTTCACTGCAGCTCAGTTCTGGTTCTGGTTCTGGTTCCCAGTTCTGGTTCTTACTCATACCATTGCTGACTCGGTTCAATCTACACTAAGACACTAATTTCTGAACAAATTGGTGACAGGAAGACAACTGTTGAGCTCTATATAAGAAACAATGTTTGCAGGCTGACATAGGCATATATTT